TACTGTTTTGGAAAAAAGAAATCAAAACAGGCTCCTGTAGTGCTCTACAGCTGTATCAGCCTGTTTTGCTTAGCTTTGTATCAGAATTGTTGTTCATCACTTTTGAAGTTTAATAGTATAGCAGTGTAGTCATAGGATGGTAAAATACACACCTTCTAGACTGATCTAAATTGCTCTTTTTTTCTCCCTTTGCAATAAATATTTCATTGTGTTTTCTATAAAGTTCATGTATAGGATTCATAACAAAATGCCCTTCTGGAGTTTACAGATAATAGCTTGTGCAGTCCTGGGTTTCTGCAAGCCACACTGTTATCTGTATGTGGTCAGGCAGGAGTGGGTACCAGACATCTTATGAGGAGCTCAAAAAATGTTTGACTTCTGGCAGAATCTTGTCATAAACTGTGATTGAAAAACCCCAACTGTTGAAATAAGGTAGGCATTGTATAGAATCAAACATTACACACACTCTGGTGTAAACAATAGCTAATTTTTTCCAAGGATGCTAAACTCTTCTAGTAATTATTGAAAGAAATTATTCACTGTGATAGATAAATTTAAAAAATGGTGTAAGCAATCATCTGAAAATTCCTCTTTTCATCTTTAATAACTTAATCCTTACCTCATTAAGCCAGCTGATTGGCTATTATTATGATTGACTGCTTTATTGGAAGGACATACAACAGTAAGAGCTTCGGTATGTCACAAGAAGATAAAGTCTTCAGCAGCTCAGTTAAGTACGTGAGCGAGATTAAATGACAGAAAGTATCTTCACAAGGAGATGTGATATGAAACTAGATTTATTTAGGACAATCTGATAGAGAAAATTGAAACGTTGAGAGTTCCTTGAAAACTCTCCAAGTATTACTGTACGTGATTCAGGCTGCAAAATGGTAACAGCTGTAAAGAATATTGGGTTTGACAATTCCTATAATACTGGTGAAGATAAAGGAGGTGAACAGTCTATGAAATCTCAGAGATTGTCACTATCCCTATTTATTATGGACTGTGTTCTACACTCATTGCTGGCAAATATCAGTTGAAGTTTTGCCAGTATAAGTCCTTATGTTTAGGATCACAGGTATTTGCAATTATGGAGGGATGAGTACACGGTCCCTTGACTTGCTGCTTTGTGTCAGCAAGTAGATGTGCTCCATTAAGCTGGTATTCCTGTACTCAGTAAATTTGTGCCTCATTAGGGCTAACCTTGAAAACATATTCATAGTCACATAATGAATGTATGCTAAAATAGGTTAGGCTATAAAATAGGTTAATGCTTGTGGATATGCCTTCAGTTTCCTGCTTTAAACAGCTCTTGGACTCCTCATAAATCTTATGAATGTCAAGGTAGATATTTGGAGGAATCCCTTAAATATTTCACTTCCATGTGTCTCAGGTCTGCTATTTCCTGGGGGCTAATTAATGTGTTTATGAAACAAAGACTTTACTTGTATAAGTCCTTAGAGCTTCTCATGAGAAGGGAAATGAAGGACCAACTCTTGTTGCTTACTAAGTATGTTCTTCTATTCCTGCATTAATGTCCTTTAGCTGAATTTTCTTACCCTAACGAATTCAGTCCAAATCACTAGGTCAAATGATTCCATCTTTACCTGCCTTCTCCCCCCTCCCCCAATTTACATCTCTCCCCCTTTCTCCTTGTCATCTTCTCCCAACATCCCATCTCCTTCCATTCCTCAGCAAAGCAAACTTCAAGATACAGTACATACAGTATACTGAATGTAAATATGAGTAGATGCAGTAAATTTTCAGAAGACTGCTTCACAGGACCAAAGTGGGCAACACTGAATTTGCCCATACCATTTGTGGAGATTCAAATAATTTGCCTTAATAAAGGCAGGAAAACCTCAACCCTTGCTCCATTGTAACAGGAAGGAAATTTTAGCTTGTTAGACAAACCTTTTCTCTCAGTCTTAATGTTACGAGCAGTTTTCTGTATGTTTTGGAGCTAGAACCCAGTTACCTTTGCTGACGAATACTTCTCAAAAATACTCTTTTTTCACCAGCAATTGCACTACCAGCTAAACAGACTTTTACGGGACAAATTAATTCTTGAAATGATTGGTCATGGATCTTACTTTGCAGTTTATATAAATACCTAGTGAATGGGAATATGGATGAGACTACGAAGGGCAGAATGGGGAAGTTAAGACTCTGTTCATACATGAAATAAAAACAAATTATGCAAGGCCTTGAATAGACTTTTATAAATGGCTTTTAGCTACTTTTAAGTAGAGACTACTTCTTTTCACAGTTGAGTATATTAGATATAATTAAATATAAATTGCCTCTAAGAGAACAGGAAAAGTGTTATTTACTCAGGGGTATTCAAATACTTCTGCAAACTCCTGAATGTTATTGTACTAGACTTCCAGTGGATATTCTTAACGCTTACAAAATATGCAATACACAAATGTTATCCTTTCTGTACAAAACTGTGAGTGGAGACTGCTGGGAGTGACATGTCCTTCTGTGGTGGTGTCAGCTTTGACTGCTTTCCAGATTGCCTTGCTGGGAGATGCTGACTGCTCTATGTGATGCCCTTTGCAGATTTGAAAAACTGTCTGTCTAAGAGGTGCTTAGACAGAAAGCGATGAATTTACTCCCTGGATGGCTGAGCTGTTTATTTCTTCTTTATTCCCAGTCCTCACTGGCTTGGAATGTATGAGCTAAACATTGATACATTCTGTGGCAGTGCAGCCCTTACATGAGGAGTCAGATGCATGGAGGAATTAAGAGATTTCAAGACATGCTGAGATCCTAGTTTCCAACTCTTTGGTCCAAAGTCTTCTGATACACAGCAGGAGTGGCCAGTGTCTGTGATCAGACCGGAGTTGTGGGCAGAGGCTGAATGTGTGACAGATGTTTCTTGAAGGTACTTTTACAGGAGTGGGTAATGTTGGGTTTGTTTTCTTTTAATGTGTCAGGTGCTGCAGGGCAGCACTGGAAGTGAAACGTTCCATTTTAGCAACAGATGAAGCAGCAATAACACAAGCTTCTCTCTGTTTCTTTCATGGTGTGCCTGACTTCTCACTAGGAGCAGCAGCAGTTCAGTGACTGTGCTAACTTAAACATGGGCCTCACGCTGACACGTGAAATACTACTAGTTGGAGTGGGGAAACCTGTTTAGACAGGAAGATATGAAAAAACAGGTAATTTGATGAAGTTCCAATGGCTTTGTTTTGTTCTGGCTTTTTTGGTGTGGGTTTTGGTTTTGGGGGTTTTTTTTAGAGTTTTCACAGAGTTTTTATATTTTTCATGGAGGTACCAGGAACAAGCTTCTTAAGAGGAAGAAGTTTTCCCTAAATTTTTTGAAAAGGTACATCTAAATTGTACACTTCATGTTGGCATGATAAAAGTTTACTGTTACCACACAAGAACAAATATTGCAGTTTATCATAGCCTTGTATCACTTACCTAGAAGGCTGAGGCCATATCAAAGACTTCTGGGAATTGTAACATAAAACTTATTAGTTATTTCACTTATATATTGTATATGTGTGTATATAGAAGATGTATATACAAATAATATTAGGAACTAGACCTGTTTTTTCCCTAGTGCAAATCACAAGAGCACATCTGAATAAAGGGGCAATTCAGGCTTGATAGAAACAAAAAAAGTCAGCAACCTCAGTGCTGAGCTGCCCAGGCAAGGTGGAAAATAATGAGGAGCCCTGATGATAATGTTCCTCTATGGCCTAAAGGAGAGCTTACCTAGAATGATGCACCTAGTCCAGTTACACCTCCTTTTTTACAGAAAGAAATGCATGGCAGTGTGTTGACTGTGTGACTTGTCACCCAGTTATCATTCGGCCTGGAAAGAAGGAAACCTCTTAAGCTCTCCCTGGCTTGATTTTGTTCTAAGCCCATGATTCCTGTATCCCATATACATGTCCCCATCACGAGATTTGCTTAAGCTAGGGAGGTCATCTTTAATACATCAGTTGAAAAGTAAAATAGTTTCTTGAATGTTTATTTCAACTGATGCTTAATCCCCAAGGTCTTAAATTTCTGGATAGTAATCATCTGGCTATAGTGTCATATCTCTGTGGCTCACTTTAATTTTTTGTTCTTGTTGCCATAAACTGAAACCAGATTGATGGTTATGACAAGCTTGTTCGATGATGAAAAACCGATGTTAGTGACAACGTTCCCAGTAAGACAGAAGACTTCAAAGCAGTTTTTCTTTTAGCTGAGTGCTCCAACCAACAAGTTTTTGTTTAAAATGGGACTGACGATAACTGCAGCCAGTTCTCCAGTTGCTTTGTCCCAGGCCTTACACAAAAACCATGTAATGTGTAGTATAGGCAACAAGCAGTATAGGCAACAATATGAAATGCTGCTGGACATTTGAGCAGCATTGCTCTTTCATGTGTGACTCTTGGCAGAAATGTAAGAGGCCACAGATTCGGGCACCAATGTGGTTAATGGTTAGCACTCAAGTTCCTCTGTAAATCTTGCCTCAAATCCAAACCCAAGAGGAATTTGAAATAGCTGGTAGAGAGGACCTCAATTACAGTGGCCCTTGTTTTGTGGCATTATGCTCTGATTTGTGTTTTGTGCTTTTAGAGGTCCAGGTCAATGTGCAGCAGCTACTTCGTGCCCCACATAAATTCTGGCAACGAGTACAGGGGCTTGGTGCAAAGCGTACTAGTGCCTAAGACGGACGTTGTCTGGTTATCCACATGTAAAATGGAGTTTAAAACCGGCAAGCGTAAGATGAAAGCAGAAGGGCTTCTCCGTGTGTGAGCGCAGGGGAGAAAGGAGGTGCGTGCAGGGCCGACACCAACCCTGCAGCTGTGGGGGCGGCCCCGCCGGGGCGGGTGTCCCTGCCGGGGCGGGTGTCCCTGCCGGGGCGGG